GTGGATACCCTAAGTAGTCTGTCTGGTGACCGGCTCTAAGGGTTTCCTAACTCCTCTAGTGTAAATGCTCATATGTTTCACATTCTTCTTCTCAAGGTGGCATCTGTCGGGGCTTGTGGTGTCTGCTTTCTCGAATTCCTCTTCAGCTGGCCCCCTGAACTGTTCCCACTTGGTTTGCATCCTACCTTGCTGGCTGCACCCTCTGAGCATTCTCATTACCCTGACCTTTAAATGTTGGGGGTGCCTCAGGGTGTACCCTCAAACTCTTTGTTCATAGTCACTATCTATATAGACTTCATAAGACCAGCATTTCAAATATATTTGCTGATAATTCTCAAATTTATACTTGGTTACATGAGGGATCACTTTGTAAAATTTCACAGAACTAAGTACATATGATTTATGCACTGTTATTTAAATGGATGTCTTCTTAAAAGGTTAAAAAAAAAACCCCAAACAATAAGAAAGATTCTTCTAAGGTATTCTTTTTTTTGTTTGTTTGTTTGTTTTTTTCTTTGTCTTTTGTGAGGCAGGTCTCCCTGTAGCCCTAACTGGCCTGGAACTCACTGTATAGACCATGCTGGCCTTGAACTCACAGAGATCCACCTGCCTTTGCCTCCCAAGCGCTGGGATTAAAGGCATGTGCCATATCATATTTCAAAGCAAACTTCTCCCTGAATGTTTCCTATCTGATGGAAACACTATTTTTGAAGTGTTGAGGCCCCAAACCTGTCATGATCCTTCATTCAACTTTCATTTAACTCCAAACTGAGTGTATCTGAATATCGTGCCCAAGGTGGGGACCACCCAATATTGCACCTGCCCAACTGTGGTGGTTTGAATGACAATGCCCCCCACCGATTCCAAGTGTTTGGACATTTTGTTCCCAGTTGGTGGCGCTGTTTTGGGAGGTTTTTGGAGGTGTGGCCTTGCTGGAGGAAGTACATCACTGGGGGGGGGGGGGCTTTAAGAATTCTTAAGCCTTGCCAGATTTCCTCTCTCTGCTTCCTGCTCCTGCTTGAAGATGTGATTGCCCAGCTTTCTGCTCTGGCTGTCTCTTCTGCCAGGCCTCCCCACCGTGATGGACTGTAACCCTCTGGAGCCGTAAGCTGAATAAACTCTTCCTTCTGTAAGTTGCTTTGGTCAGCGTTTTTTATCACAGCAACAGAAAAGTGACTGATACACCAACACATATCCCAACACCAACATGTCTCATCTCACACTCACCATCTCAGCCACAATAACCTGCTAACTGGGCGCTGTCACTTTATCCTTGCTGCACAGTGACAATAAGCCTTTAAAAGTGTAGCTCATGGGCTGGGGAGATGGCTCAGGGTAAAGTACCTGCCATGAAAACATGAAGACCTGAGTTCAGATCCCCAATATCAATATAAAAAGGCAGATGTGGTGGTTCGCACCTGTATTCCTGGTGCTAAGGAGGTGGAGATAGAAGGATCCTTGGGACTGGCAGGCCAGCAGATCTAGCGGAATCAGTGAGCTCCAGGATCAGTGAGAGATGCTGTCTCAAAAAACAAACTGAAGGGGCTGGAGAGATGGCTCAGTGATTAAGAGCACTGGCTGCTCTTCCAGAGAGCTAATGACTGGTTGTCAATCCAGCTCCAGGGGATTCAACATCTACTTCTGGCCTCTGTGGGCACTGCACAATGGGCGTACTTCCATCCATGCAGGCAAAACACTTATACACATAAAAGTAAAAATAAATTAAAAAACAAAACAAAACAAGGCAAAGAGCAACTGAGGAAGACACTCCATGTGACTTCTGGCCTCCACGTGAATCCACACGTGTGCACACACACAAATCCCAGCCCCCCAATATTTATATACTATACCATTTCCTCTAACGTCCCAATTTACTAAATCAAGTTTGAAGCGCGCGTACATGCGCGCGCATGTGTGTTCACTCATGCCAGGAAAAGTGTGGAGGTCAGAGGGCAACATATGGAAGTCGGTTGCTTCCTTTCACCACGTGGGTCTCAACCATCGAACTCAGGTCCTCAGGCTTGGCAGCACGCACCTTTACTTGCCGAACCATCTCACTGGCCCAAATGTGAAGTTCTTACACTGAGGGTCCACCAGGTACTTCATGATTGCACCCCGCTTATCTCCGTGACCTCATTTGCTGCCATTCCCCACTTGCTTCAGTTCACTGTAGTTACTTGTTCCGTTTGAAGTTCCCTGAACATTTCCAATAGGATTCCACTTCAAAGCTTTGCAGCTGCTGCTCCTCTGTGCTTAGAACAGTTTCCTCCAAATTCTCCTGTCTCCACTCCTCTCCTCACTCCAGTTTCATTATTATGAGATTTTCCTTGTGATGGCTTAAAACAGCTATTATCTTACCATGCTTTAATTCACTTTCTAATGTGACCAACCCCCTCAGGGTACTTAAACCTTCTAAGAATGAGCCTGTTTCTGTCCCCAGAATCCCCATTATCTACAGTAGTGCTCAGGAGCATTACTGAATGAATGTAGAATGAACATAACACTGCTTCTGTTTGTCTTTCTCAAGTTCTTTTTAGGATTTATTTTTATCTGTGTGCGTGTGTGTTTGTACCACACGAGTGCAGGTGTCCAGGAGGACAGAACAGGGTGCTAAAGTTACAGGCAATTGTGAACTTCCTGATGTGGGTGCTGGGAACTGAATCTAGGTCCTCTGCAAAGAGCAGGAAGTGCTCTTAGCGGCTGAGCTATCTCTCCAGCCCCCAGTCCTATTCTTTTTCCGTGACACTCTTTCCTGATTCTTGGATTTCTTAGTCTCAGAGATGATGACTTTTTTCTCTGCTTGATCTTAAATACAGGTTAAAATTGGAGAGGAGAGGGTTTAGAAAGGCAACAATTCAGGTAAAGATTACTTTAAACTTCAAGCTAATAAAAATCAGCACCAAATGAAAGAATCTACCTCTGTACAGAGTAACTAACATTAGGTTTACCAATGCCTGTTAATGAATGTAAGGCGTTTCCTTATTTGCAAGAGCTGACTGGTATATCTGGGCATCACAGGAATGTACACTGTATAAAAGGACTACCTTAAAATTATGTCAAAATTATGAGCTGGTCATGGTGCACACCTGTGATCTAGACAGTGGGAGGCTGAGGAAGACAGAATTCTGTGAGTCTGAGGCCAGCCTCTTTCATAGAATGAGTTACAGGCTGACCAGAGTTACAGTGAGATCTTGTCTCAAAAACAAAACAAAACAAGACAACTAAAATCATGTCAAGTGAGCAACGATGACTTCTGAAAAGATGGAGCGGATATGGAATTATCACTCTTACAGATTAAAAACTGATAAACAAGGGCTGGAGATATGGCTCAGTGGTTAACAGCACTGGCTGCCCTTGCAGAGGACCCAGGTTCAGTTCTTAGCACCCACATGGTGCCTAACAACCAGCCATAATTCCAGTTCTAGGGGATCTGACCTCCTTGGCATTGTATCACCTAAGTACACATACACTCAGACACATAAATAAGATTTTAAAAACCTGATAGACATTTATGTTTTTTTTTCTACACAGGTACATGCTAAGCACTTTAACTGCACCTCTGAGTTTCACAGGGCCTTATAGGAAGTCACTATCACAGGGTTCATCCTACAGACTAGGACAAAAATCTTGAGATATTATGAAACTCAACCAAGGTTACAAAACTTGTAATTGCAACCCACTTAAACATTATAAGTCTAACATCAAATAAGAAGGGAACCCACTATCTTTAGTTCTTCCTTTTTTATTTCATGGGACAAAAGAATTACAGAGCAGGTCAGACATTAACAATAACATTGACTCCCATGGCCTCTTTTCCAGGCAGAGCTTTCTGAAACCAATGTAGTGCGGGCCTTCTTCCAGACACACAGAATGGACACTGTGCTAATAATCGAATCTCTTTACACAGAGACTGGACACTTCTGGTCTCTGAAAAACATTTCATTTCACCACTGACCTTTAAGTTTAGGAGTCTGGTGCCTGCTCTGGGGACAATTCCTCCCCTCACCACAGGCTCCAGTTTTGGTCTGAGCCTCTGAAGCCCATAACCAGCTCGGTGTGGATAACAGCGCCAGTGCAGCTGGTGCAGGTTTTCCTAAGCTGTGATCCCCGGGATCCCAATCAGAGGACACTGTCACCAAGTCCAAGGAGTCCACCCCTTTATCCCAGGGCTGGGCAGTCGCCTGGAGATGGAGGACAGCTGAAGCCTGGTCCTCGGTGGCTCCACCCGCCTGCGGGTACCTCACCCTGCCCCTCTGCCCCGCTCCATCCCCGGCCACGCTCTCCCCACCCATCTGGGATTCATCCCCTGCCCACCCCCACCCCCCACCCCCGGCTCTCTCCCGTCCATTCTCTTCCTGGTCTACGCTCACCAGGCTCTCCCGTTCACCCCCCTGGTCCATGCTCACTTCCAGGCTCTCCCGTCCATCTCCAGGTCCATCCCCAGCCTGGTCCGCGCTCACCAGGTTTTCCCGTCCATCCCCCTGGTCCGTGCTCACTTCCAGGCTCTCCCGTCCATCCCCAGTATGGTCCGCTCTCACTAGGCTCTCCCATCCATCCCCAGCCCCGTCCACTCCCCTGGTCCTTGCTCACTTCCAGGCTCTCCCGTCCATCCCCAGCCCAGTCCACCCCCAGCCTGGACCGCGCTCACCAGGCTCTCCCGTCCATGCCCCTGGTCCGCGCTGACTTCCAGTCTCCTGTCCAACCCCAGGTCCATCCCCAGCCTGGTCAGCTCTTACCAGGCTCTCCCGTCCATCCCCCTGGTCCATCCCCTTGCCTGGTCCACCCCCTGGTCCACCTCCAGCCTGGTCAGCTCTTACCAGGCTCTCCGTCCATGCCCGGTCCATCCCCTTGCCTGGTCCACCCCCAGCCCGGTCCGCGCTCACCAGGCTCTCTAGTCCATCCCCCAGGTCCGTGCTCACTTCTAGGCTCTCCCATCCACCCCCTGGTCCATCCTCCGCCTGGTCCACCCCCAGGTCTATCCCCAGCCCGCCCGCGCTCACCTCCCGTCAGTCTCCGGCCGCGGGGCATCCGTCGCAGGCCCCGCAGCACCTTCCGCGCTGAGCCCCGAGGCCCTGCGGCTTCGCCTCCGCGGCCGGGGCTGCTTCTGAGCCGCCGGCTCTGGCTCCATGGCCTGGGAGGGGGAGTGGGGCCGTGGCCGGGTGCCTGGGAGACCGACGGCGGCGGGCACTGTGCCCGCCAGCTTCTGCCAGGCAGTAAGCTGCTGGCTAGCAGAGAGCGGCCGCCATCATCCGGGCATTTGAAAATGGCGGCTGCACAGCGGTCAGCCAGTCAGAGAGAGGCCAGGGTTGCTAGGATACGGGGAGTCCCGCCCTCTTCCTAGCCGCGGCGGAACGCTAGTACCTAGCAAAGGGTGGGAGGAGAAAGGGAAATCCGCAGGTCAGGAGTTAGGAATGCTCGGTTTTGTCCTAAGGCCAACCTTGCATCTCCCAGAGGCAGTCTTGCACTACTGGACTTTCACTGCATGGGGGAAAGGGACTGGAAGAATTGTACCATTTTATGTCGTGCTAGATAACACTTAGCATTAGAAGAGTTGAATGTAATGACTCAAAGGAAGTAAATTATTCGTGTGGGATATATACCCAATTACCAAAGACCAAGAACTGTGTTCTCAGGGATGGCGCTAGGAAACCAGTGCAACCTAGTTGTAAGTCCTGTCTTCCGGTAAGTAGGAGACTGGTTCCTTAGCAAAGTGAGGGGACAGTATGAATAAAAGAACTTTTCAAGTTATTACATGAAGGTTGTTAGAGGAAAACGTTCTTGGATTTTAAATATTGCATTGTATGTGCTAACGGTTTTTAACATAGTCTTTTCTGTTTAAAATTATCCTAAGAACATGTACAGATATAGGAAACTATTAATGACTGTTTACAATAGAAAGATGAAAGGTAACCTAAATAAATAATGATTGGAAAATTCCTAAATACAACGGATTGACTGGAAAGCCCATCTTCACATACATGAAGACAAAACACTGTATACAAAAAAAATTTTTTTAAAGACCTTCTTAAAAATAACAAGATTCTTGGAAGTTAGCTTATCCTCAAATCTGTAGATGCTGAAATTGATTTTGATGCTGTCACTAGAGGTGGTCAGTCCTTTGGGTATTTGTGATTATTATCACTGTCAAAATGATGAATACTCCAGGATATTGATGTGGGGACTATGTGCCAGGTATTTTCCAGTGATCAGAACATTGTTGCTTTAGCCAAGACAATCCCCTTCATTGTTTATTCACTTGGGAAGTTGTTATTTTGTCCAGCAACTATTCACATATACTTCTTGAACTCTTACAAGAAGAAATAGTGAACTGAAGGCTCAATTGGTGATTCAAACCCTGGAAAGGGCTGGTGAAATCCCATAAACTTACAATAGAGCCACTTTCTGCTGTCTAAATGTCCCTGCCCCCAGATTTAGTGTCTTTCTCTGTCTAGGACAGTACTGAATACATGACATACATCCTTTGAATCCCTGTGTCTCCAACTCTGTGCAAATTGTTCCTCTTCCTTAATATGGTCTTCAGGTCATGGTTGAGGAAACTGATTATATTTCAGCTTTTCTATATTACACAGAATTGAGTACTGGATCTCTTTCTTTGAGAAGATATTTTCATTAATTTGATTGAAGCTGAGTACTACCTATATTTCTTCAGTTGTAGATTGATATTTCTAAAAGATTCCCCCCCTTCCCAAATCTTCTGCCATCTGTAGTGACACACCCAAGGCCCAAGAAAAGTATAGAATCCTGCCAACCAGCAATAATACACCTCTGTAAAGTGTTCCCACCTATCCCTATCCCAAGTCTGAAAAATCTGATTTTGGACAGTCTGGCAGAAGAAGAAGAGAAATAGGAGGAGGAGGGAGAGGGGGAGGGGGAGGGGGAGAAGAGAAGAGAAGAGAGAAGAGAGAGAATTTGTTTTTTATTAAGACAAGAAACAAAACAAAACAACCTGACCTTGTGGACCCATGCCCTTAATCCCAGCACACTGGAAACAGAGGCAGGTGAGATAAGAGACCAACCTGCTCTACAAGAGTTCAAAGTTCCAGCCCCTCGCCTGGGGCTACAGGAAGACCCAGTCTCAAAAAAATGAAAAAGAAAAAAGAGAAAGAAAAAGAAGAAAGAAAGAGAAAAAGATTCAGGTTTATTGCAGAGATTATGTTACACATTATTATAGAAATACATTTGAGGGGCTGGAGAGATGGCTCTGTGGTTATGAAAATAATAATA